ATGATCAAAATGTCAAATTGCTCCAAATTTATCTATAGATTTAATGTAATCTCCATAAAAATCTCAGCAGGTTTTTAGAGAAGTTGACAACCTGATTCTAAAATGCAAAGGTCCTAGAACAACTAAAACAACCTTGAAAAAGAACAAAATTGGAGGATTTCAAGACTTGCTAAAAAATTACCACAATTAAGACACTGTGGAACTGGGCATATAAAGTGATATATACATGAATGGAATAAACTAGAGGTCTAGAAATATAGTAACATATATGGTCAATTGATTTCAATAAAATGTAGTATTTTTCACAAATTGTACAGGAAACCCTAGGTATCCATATGGGAAATAAAATGGACCTCCATCTTTACCTCATTCTATGCACAAAAAATGGATCACAGACTTAAATTTATAACCTCTAACTATAAAACTCCTAGAAGAAAACATAAGAGGAAATCTTCCCTATCTGGATTAAGTGCATATTTCTTAGACTAACAAAGCTCTAATCATACAACAAGAAAATGGACTTCAACAAAAGAAACTTCTCTTCAAAAGATACATGTATTCTTTTTTTATTGTTATATAACACATTATCCCAAATTAAACAGCTTAGAACAACACACACATTTATTAGCTCAATTTCCATGCATCAGGCATCTGTGTGCACAGTTGGGCTGAATCTGCTGCTCAGGGTCTCACAAGGCTATAAGCAACTTACTGGTCAATCTAGAGTCTCACCTGAAGGTTTAACTGGGGAAGGACCTCTTTCCAACCTTCCTCAAGCAGGTGTCATCTTGCAGCTGCAGGACTAAGGTCCCAATTCTATTGGTGGCAGTAGTCTAGAGCCACTCTCAGCAACTAGAGGCTGCCTCAGTTCCCTGCTACATGGGCCTTTTCTATAGGCTTTCTCACAATATGGCAGCTTGCTTCTTAAAGCCATCCAAAGAGAGAAGTATCTCATTCAAATCTGCTAAGCGGGAGTCTTAAATAATGTAACATAATTAAGGGAGTGACATCTCATTACCCTTGCCATAGTCTACTGGTTAGAACTCACAGGTTCCACACACATTCAAAGAGAGGGAAATTATACAACGTTTGGACACCAGGAGGGAGCAACTGCTGAGGTCCCCTAGATCTATCCTCTCTGCCATTGTTCACAAATATCTCCAGTACATCTCTCTACCGGGGCCTTGTCTCCAGGACATATAAAGAATCCATCATTCAATAAGACAACATAAAACCCAATTTAAAAGTGGACAAAAGACTTGACAGAGACTTCACAAAGACTTTTTTAATGAACATTAATTACAGGAAAAGGTGCTCAATGTTGATAGTCAACAGGGAAATGCAAATTGAAGCCACAGTAAGTTATCACTACATGCCCACTAAAGCGGCTAAAATTAAAATGACTGAAAATAACAAACACGGGTGAAGATGTGAGGCTATGAAAATTCTCAGACAGTACTAGTGGGAGTGTAAAATGGAAAGTGTCTGACAGTTTCTTTTAGAGCTAATTTCCTTTATGACATTTTCTTTATGACCAATTCCACTCCTAGGTATTTATCCATGAGAATGAAAACACGTGTCCACACGAAAACCTGTAGAAAAGGTGCTCTCAAAGCTTTAATTATAATAACCTCAAATTGGAAATTACTGAGATGTCCATCAATAGACGAATGAATAAACAAGCTGTGGGGTAGCCATACAGTGCAATACCACAAGGCAGTAAAATAAACTAATGATACAAGCAGCAACATAGATGAACATCAAAACAGCTTTGCTAGGAGAAGGAAGCCAGGCAAAAACAGAGTCCATAGTTTGGTTCCTTCCACGTGATATTCTAACCCATCATGACAGAAAGCAGATCTGTGGCTGCCAGTGGATGAGGAGGGTTGCCTGCAAAGGGACATGAGGGAACTTTCTGGAATAATGGAAATGCTCACATTGCAAAATTCAGTGGATGGTGTAATCACAGACACACCAGGCATCTTTCCGTGGGAGTTCGCATGATGGCAGGGAAGAGTGGGACCTTAGGAACTGGAATGGGAACCTCCGTAGCCAGCCGGATGAATCCAAATCCCATTCCCTCTCCTTTGCCAGCAGAACAGACCTTCCCCCTCTCTCTCTGAGGACAGCCCTACACCATGCTTGAAAATCCTATACTGGCACAACTTTTAGCACCAGATTCTGTTGTATCAGTAGGGTGAGGCTAAACAAAGGAGACCTTCCCTACCCCCATGCGATATTTCAACTATAACTTTCACGCATGCACGTGCGCGTGCACGCGTGCGCGCGCGCACACACACACACACACACACACACACACACACACACAATCCAAAGGCAATCTGCAGACTCTGTCTTTAAAGTCATCCAGAGACCTGAAGTACTGGAGCAGCTCTGCTGTGCTCAGTACAGAACGTCTCCCATATAGTAACTTCCACAGTGGCTCCAGTCAGCAAAATGGGAAGAGCTGAGAAACCAGGGCAAGGGGTACCCTTCCCAATGGGTAAAGCAGAAGTTTCCCACCTCAACTCTGTCATGTTCCACCAGCAACAATTAAATCTCCTCGCCACACCCACACAGGGATGTGGGGAAATGCAGTCTCTGCCACGGACATCATTAATGAACTTTACATGATTCTGTTTTCATTCCTAAGCAGCCATTCCATCGTTGATTATACACACTCATTGCATAGACCTTTTTTAATTGACGAATTAATATTTTGCTCCGAATAAATCCTTAACAATATATTCTTCTTTCGATGGCTCATTAAAAATACCACTTTTTGTGCATGTATATTCCACGAGTTATCACACATTAGAACAGCTACACTTTCATCTAAACATGCAACCAATTGCGTATATTACACAACTTGTTCAACTGCTTGTTTTTTCAGAAAACCCAAGCGAGATTCTCTATATGTCTTCCACCCACATCTATTTTAACTGCTGCCATGGTTTTTCTCTATAATATGGCATCAGAAAAAAACAAATGCTCTCCAAATAGCGTAGCACTTTTTGTTTTTTATTAACAAATATCAAAAGATGCTTATCATTCAATAGCAAGCATATTTGGGTTCTAGAGTTAACTAATTTGATTATTACATTGTCTTTTTATTAAATTGTTAACAAAATTGTAGTTTCTTATTCTCATACACAGGATTCCTAATTTTTAGTCTTACTAATTCTGATAGTTTCATATTACCACAGCTAATTTTTCAAGACACCACATACACTTTGGGAAAGATTCGTGATTAATGACAATAGTCTTATGGGTAATTTTGAAATCTGTTTAACTTGTCAGACCTGATCACTGACTTAACTCATCATTTAAAGAAAAGCTAGAAATAGCACATGGGTCCAGCAATGCCGTGTCGTTGCACTTCTACTTACACTATTTTTCTCAATTCCTATTTTTTTTATAGGAATCCTTTTAAACCAACATGTTGTGAGAGTCAGTTTAACTAAACCTAAATGCAGACTTATAAATCCATCCAACCAGCACACACAGAAATGGCAATATTCTGCAATGGGCTAAAACCATATAAAAGCACGAGGCCCTCTTCCCGTGGGACTCCACACCACCCCCCTCCTTCCTATTCCGCCCAGACCAGTTTCTGGTGTGCATGCCAGAAACAGGATTGGGTGTGCTAGTACCGATCTATAGGTTATTGTCAGTAAAACTGATTTCACAGTACTTTTGTTTTAAACCTAAGAAAAGAAAATCACACTTCCTTCTGGCATCCTGACAACATATCATTATCCAGTGTCCCCTGGAGGTGCACATCATTACCTCCCCACCCTCCATTTCGAAGACCACATAGCTCATCTGTATTACAGAACTTAGATGGTACTTTGACAACAGCCATACACAAGACAGAGAGAAATCCTAATCATTTATAAGCATTTGGAGTCCTACCCTGGACACAGCTACCAGTCAGGTGAAGGTGATGGATGCCAGACCTGGGCCTTTCGGGTAAGCCCCTTATTCCCCACACTCACACGGGAGACGAAAGACAGGAGGCTGGGCCCAAAGATCCTAATTCTTGGGCCATTTCCTTTTTCCCGGTCTTGTCCACTTCATCATCAGAGCTCTTGACCCAAAAAGCCCAACTCGGGAGCCCGGCCAGGGGTCTGCTCTCTGTCTAATTCCCTGCCCGAGGACTGTGCTTTTATTCCACATCTACCAAACGGCAGTTTAAAGAGATTAGGGAAGCTTTTAACCCAACTGAGGACGAGGGGGAAGACGAAAGGGGGAAGGCGAGAAAGGGGAGGAGGGAGAGGGGAAGGAGAAGGACTCAGAAATACGAGTGCCCCTCTGAGCGGGGAACAGCAAAGGACATACGTGGAAACGGCAGCCCTGCTCAGCAGATACTGGGCACGTTAAAGCCATTACACTAAACGATGAAGTTCAGAGCTGGTTAAGGAAGAAGTGTTCTTAACAGGGAAGTCAGGCGCAAAGCCGCAAAGCCTTCTGCGCGGCTTCAGGAATCACGCCTTACTCCAGGTAACCCCAAAGTCTGGCTCTGCACTCGAGCCCTACAGTGCCACGCTGTGTAGAGTCAAAGCCCGTCTCTCGGATGCCAGGCTCCCTTCTGAGTCGGCTCCAGAGACAGAGGTTTGTTTTAAGATTGTGGACACCCTGGAACTGGAAAATCATCAGGAAGCAAAGGAGCTCCGGGCATCACCATGCGATGCAACACATAGTAGGTCTTATTAACACTTCATATTTAACTATTAAACCCAATTAAAATTATGCCATTTTAAATGAAAAATTCTAGATGAATATAATCAAGTATTATCACAAAGCAATGTTCTAAGCTTACTGTTTCGAACTTCAAAGATATAACTTTATGACATCTGTTCATAAAAACTGAAGATATACAGAATAGTTTTATAATTGTTTTTTGGTAAGAAGAAAATACCTTATTATCAGTTATAGTAGAAATAAACAGAGTTTCATAAAGTGATATCAAATACAACTTGTGAAAAACTACTACTTACATCCAAAGAGTCCTCCTTCAGTAGGATAAGGGCCATATTCTGTGACACCAACCGGCAGGAATATCCTAGAAAATAGGGGAAGAGAAAGCGCACATAAATGTACCATTCTTTCCATGAATGCATCATTCTTCAATGGCTATTTGCATTCAGCCTCCTTTCTTTTATCTTCCTTACCGCTGTATTTTAATCCCACTGGCTCATACCGAGGGAACCGGCAGGCGTGAGGGGTAGGAAAAGAAGCGATAAACTCATCATGATTCCTTCAGACAGCTGGAACAGAGCTGGGTGTGAAGGTCTTCATAACTAACAGCTAAAGTAAATGTTTGTCAATTTTCTGCACATGTGTCTTTATCCTTGTCATCCTCGTATAACATTAGGATAAGCCCTGGATTATCTAAAATAACAGCAAACACTTTAGGAAGACAAATGGAATCGACTGGTGCTCCTAAATCAGCATCTATGTGCCTATCCTAGTCTCAAGAGCCTTCCTTTGTTTTTTTTTTCTTTAAAGAGTATGTACTTCTCACAACAGGTTTCAAAGAAATACTAGTATACATTGAGGAAATCACTTTTCCTACCCAAAGTTCAAAGCAATCCCCATTTCCCAAATCGTATCTGAGTTTTTAAAAAAAAGTTTGCTTGGAACAAAAGTAATCCAGTACAAATTTTTTTTAACTCTTTTCATCGCATATTTAAATAAAGTTATCTCAGCGGGTTAAGCAGGATACTCGTTTCTGATTTGCCTCCCAGAAGGTGAACACGTTCTCTGGAAGCTCTTCCCCGCTCAGGCTTTGCAGCCGCTCTGAAACAGGAGATGCTCGGTGACACGGTGCGCGGAGGCGAGAGCCTCTCCCTTCAACTCTGCACCCCCTGGGGAAAAGCGGCTCAGCAAATCCCCAGGAGCGGGTGTCTGCTGTTGCTCCCGTCTTTCTTCCCAGCCCCCATCTGCCCTTTCAGTGCCCCTTGGAGAGCTGGCCTCAAGGTGTGTTTTGCACCAACCTCCATCTCAGTTGATCTCTGAGAAAAGGCAAGAAAATAATCCTTCCACCTGGAAAACTGGCCCTCACGACCATCAGCGTGTAGAATTTCAGCCTTCGAGCAAGTACGTAGGTGAGAAGCTCAAGGAAGCCCCTTAACCAATGCTCTTCCTAAATCAAGGAGGATCCCAGAGTCTGAACTAAACAGAACGGCTGAAACGTCCATTCGCACAGAGAAAAGGAAATAGGCATTTAACTAGAGGACGAGGCCCGTGACTGCTGCACCCACGCGCTCAATTCTCCTCCTTTCCTCCTGAACAAACCCTACGAAAAGGCACCAAACACAATATAAGATGCACAAACATTAAGACCTAGAAAAACCCTGTTTTTTTTTTTTCAGGGGGTGTTGTGGACACCGAGAAATATTTTTATTTCTCTATTTTGGGATGTACAGAGTACATCCTTCACTAATGACTGTCATTTGAGAAGAATATTTTGGTGAATCACCTCAGAACACAAATTTTAACAAAATTATGGCTTGTAATCTAAGTGTTATTTTTTTAAAGCAAAGTATATATAGTCCAGGCTGTTAATGATTGCTATCTCAAGGGAGTGAGATTATTTTGCTTGTGAAAACTAAAACAAACTGATTTAAAAATCACAATACCACAAAGGCAAATACCTATTAAACTTCTAACACAAAAACAAAAATGGAGGGGGGGTGGAGGATGGAGTGAAACAATTTTCTGTACATTTTCCAATTTGTTCACATACGTATTTTAACAATAGTGATGGCTGCCAATGAAACTTTCCCAGAATGCCATTCAAAGTTCTGCATGGTAGGACTGAAAGAATCAAACTCTCTGCTTCCGATTAAAATTTTATAAGTGTATTTCTTCCTTGTTATAAATTCTTAGACTAGGCCCAGAAGGGAGGTCTATATATTTTATTTTCATTTACAAAACAGGATATTGCAGCTTTAATTATTTCCCTCTATGTTCACATATTCTATCTCCAGAGACTTCCAGAAACTTCATGCAACATAAACTGTTACAAATTTACTATAACTAATGTAAAAGGATTTGCTAGTCATTTTTTGATTTGAACAACAGCTGCAGGAGCAAGCTATAATTTTTTAAGCCCTAGCTTGCTGCTTTATTTTATATTTTTCAATTTAAGCAAAATGCTACCTGACAGCTGAAGCTGCACAAAGATATTATGGAAAAACTCTTAAGTATTTTTCTAGCCACTGCAGGGAGAAGGCAATAAATAAAACCACTGACACTTCCGTGAATTTAAATATACAAAACTCAAGGTTTGTGAGAAGAAACACACTGGTGTGTTCCTTCCTTTCTTTTTTTTTTTAATTTGGAAAATGAAGTGAGGTTTGCTTAGAGAATTACCACACAGAACCTTTGCACTAGACACACCATGGATGTTCAACACGGGCAATTGTGACTTAGCTAATGTGGCAAATTAAATTACGTCAGTCCAAGTTTGCTGTGTTTGATTTCTAATGTTTTTGGATAAAATGAGATCAGCTCCTGGAGAAGAGCCAGGTATGAAATGTCAATCTGCACTTGTGAATTGAGGTCTAGTTCTTTAATCCCACTATTTTACAACACAACCCATAAGCTGACTGAGAAATGAATCTCTGGGGTTTCACTTCTAATACAGCTGACATTAATGGCACACTACAGAAGTATTTAGTCTTTCTACTGCCTGAGTATAATCAACATTCAAAGAAAGCAAAATATTAGAGTCTATGGTACTTAGAGCAGGACTTGATTTTAAGAAAATTATAGAATCATTCACATTAGAGGAAATACTACCAAACCAAATCTCTCAGATCTCACAGTGTCTTTTTGAGATAAGCTCGTCATGCCAAAGGCATCTAAATCCAAATTTCCCTGAAGACGGTTTTGAAAGGGTTAGGAACAATTTATCCTGGCTAACCATGTGTCTGAGAATGAGATGAATCAGGCTGGCCATTGCTGGGATTCAAGATGACTCCAAACCCTCAGTTAGGGGGCTGTAGGTCCTACATACTTTCAGAGAGCATCTGGCCCATCAGCATTTGAGTGTGAGTGTGTGAAACACACTGCCAGGCATTAGGAATGGATAACGAAACACGGTTCTCTCAGTCTATTCCGCATGCAGTCAAAGAGGCTCAGTACCGAGTCCTTCACCATCTGGGGAACCAGCAGGCCGAGGGCTGGTCCACAGAACTACACACCTCAGCACCTTCCCCTCCAGATCCCTCTCCGCAAGGTTCTGTCACCCTTAACACACGTTGCCTCAGCCTTACCACATGATCCCCCTGCAAAGTGAGCCATCCTGGCCCATTCTATGCTCAGTCTTCTTTGTTTAAAAAATTCTTAATGGCTCAAGTTTTAAACGTATCTCGTCCATGAGGCCTTCCCTGGTCTTTTCTGACTCATATTTTTCCCTCTGGGAAGCGAATATCAAGTGTCGATTACGTGCTCAGATCTCAGCACTCTCACACTTCTGTGACCTGGGCTACGTCACTCGATATTTCTGTGTCTCAGTTCTACCATTAAAAAGGGGATAACAGCTATCTCAAAGGGAATTAAATATAAAACTTACATAAAGGACTTAGCACAGTTTTGGGCCCATTATAGCCAACAGTTACTACGTATTATTAACACCAGTCACACTTAACATCTATACTGCACCATGAATACCTTCTCATCTCTTTCCCTAATTTGACTCAGGTCTCAGGTAGGGAATGTAAGTTCCCCAAGTCTCTAGTGGAGCACCTGGCAACAATGTTAGCTGCAGGCAACAAGAAATTCCATGTCTGACTTTTCTCTGAAAACCAACACTTAAGACTGGGGACACGACAATGTCCCAGCTTCTCCTGAAAATAGTGATTTGTCTTCCTTCTAATGGGCAAGGCAACCTGCAGGCAGTAATAGACTGAGCAAGCAGTATAGTTACTCACTTTTCAAAATTAAACTTCTAAGACTGTAAAAAGTAGATTGAAAATATTAAATGATGAGTAACAAAATGGAGGCAGCAGAATTCCAACTCAGAAATGGTTTACAGTAAGAGCTATTTCCAACTTAATGACTTGAAAATGGAATACACACTAGGATTTTGTTCTTACTCATCTACATCCAGTAGGAAAAAAAGCAGACTCTATAAACTTTACATCTATTGCCTAACTATTTAATAGATGTTTTGACCAGGGGTACTAAGGAAATGACAACTACACGATTCACAAAGTCTACATCTTAAATTTCACTTTAGACGAGCTGATGCCAAATTTTTAAGCTAAGAAAGAAAACTACCGATTCCTTGAGACACAGCTAGTTAGCATAAATTCAAGCAGAGCTCAGCAGGATTCTGGCATCATGCCAATCCGAAACAACCTGAAACCCACAAGCAAGAGGACTCTCTCTCTATAGAATATTCATTGGCTCCTAACAGACACAAATATCCTGGAACTTAATTTGACTAGGTATATTTATTTCCAAGATAGGAACCCAAAGCTACACTTTACAAATAAATTCTCAAACTATGATGACAGATAAATCAAACGCTAAAGAAAGCCAATAGTCCCAAACACCAAACACGCCAAATGTCACATCTAAAGGTGAACTCTTACCATAGGTGCCACTGAGAAAACCTGTAAGAGTCAAAAATCACAAGACATCCTGACTTCAGAGACACTACAATACAAAAGTAAGGCATGTTTTAGAATGGATGAGATACCGTACCATTCCCCCCGGCCTCCTAACTCAAACTTCAGTGACAGCTACGTGAATCCATTTAAAATGTGTCCTACCCCAGAAGTCAAGAGCCTTCACCCCTACTTCTGGCTTGTTCATTCAACAGAACAAAACCTTTGTAAACTCTGGGTTTCCCCCTTGACCTAAGACTGTTCACATGAAAAGACTGGAGATAGTGTTCAGAAAGCACTCCCAGCACAGTTTGGGTGCTCAGCAGACACCCCATTAATTTGCTTTTTCTTCCTTTATATGGAAATAGAACGGCTAGATACTCATCTTCCTCCCAACTATCTTCTGGGTACCCTAAAATGCACGTAGAATGCACTAAAATAT